CGTTCTCACTTGCATGATTGATTAATCATAGTGCTTGATGCAACACAAAAAAGTATTAAAGGCATTATTGTTTGATTTCAGAATCAAATGGTCAACGCCAAACATCTCACAAGTTCAACTAGTTCAAGTTTGTTGCACTGCACAATACCAATTAATAAATGCTCCAATTTTTAAAATTTTCTTTATTGAAGAACTATGCATTTTTAAACTATTGCAGTTTAAACATGACAGCAGTGGATATAAAAAAAAATTTAAAAAAATACAATTCTATTCATTAAAACAGTAAAACACTCTCTTACGTCTAATAGAAGTTTTGAAAAGCTTATCGGCGTCCTAGAAAAATAGTTCTTATTAGTGAAAAGTAACGACAAATGAGTAATTCCTACCAAAAGGCTTTCGCTGGTCTTCGCAATCCTTTCATTGGCGTCATTCCTGATTTGCCTTAGTATTTTAGGGTAGAGTCTCATCACGTTGGTAAAATGAGTCTTTTCGAGCCTGAAGAGTTCACAGGGGGTAATCGCGACAACATTTGCAACCTTAAAAAAATAATAAATAAAATAAACAATTAGGTATAAATGCTACCAAGAATTTTGGTAACGACGCCCAACATGTGGTTTTCGCCATGTACCTAATAAGGCCAGTGCTTCTTATTGCTTAATATTGAATCATATTTTCAAAAATTACAATATTATTAAAAAAGATATCTATAATGCAAATCAAAAATTATAGCGGGGGTTCCTAGCAACTCGTTATATTATGTCGAAAAATGGCCAACCACATATTTCATATGTCACGTTATAACTTTGAGGCTGGAACTTAATTAGTTTAAACACATGTTTATAGACTGAATGCAGCGAATATAATTTTTACACAGACATTTATGTATTGAGAAAGCTACAGAGTAAGAACAGAATATTATCTTTGCTAGATTTCTAGTTACAGACTTTTTTTTATCAATGTAACATGTTCCTAATAAGGCCATATATGAAAAATGTTCAATTGGCCTCACATCATACTGTTTTTTAACAGAATGCGTCATATTATTACCCAAGTGATGTGTTTTAGAACGCCTGTAATCTAACCAAGCAATAGAAGCTGCGGTTCATTTGTCCTAGCTGTATGTAGACCTATTTGGATCAGCACCCCAGGACTTAAAATTATTGTTTTTTTAGAATGCAGCAAGCGTTTAAGTTCTATTTTGTGTACTATTTCTCAAAAAAGAATATTTTTTTAAATAATTGTACATATTTATTTCAAACATTTTTTGATGGTGGCCTTATTAGGAGCATAGTGATCCAAATAAGGTCAATTAAAAGCGTCTTTGTTTTATGCAAAAACCACCACTTTTTTAAAAAATTAAATAAATTGGTGTTAGTATTTAAGTAATAGAAATGAAACACTTCACATGTAAGCTCGTGATTTTTGTTGGGCTTGGTGGATAACGTTAGGAAAAAATTAAACTTCTTAACATGGCCTTATTTGGAACAGGTACCTTAAGCATTAAAGTTATCTTTTAAAAACGAAAAATACCATACCCTGGGAATATTTATCACCAAAGCGATTTCTCCAAAATGTGCTCCATCCTTCAAATAACACAAAGTTTTCTTGTTTGCGGCAGTTACTGCAACTGTTCCAGCCAAAATAAAAAACATGCAGTTACCTGTAATTCAAATATTCATATTGAACAAAAGTTCTCATTATGGTAAAAAAAAAACATGGACAGTTGTGTCTGTAGACTTCAGAACCGACTATGAAATATGGCATTTTGCTACCTATCGTCATTACACATTATATAGGGTACAGCCCTTCAGAATACCAGAATGTACTATGTACTACTGAAAAAACTGCAAGGTTATGGCGGTTCCCGTGGAATTGAAATAAAAACCCTTCCTATGGAATAACTAGAAATTCCATAAGATTTCCATGAAATAATGTATTTGAAATTTCATTGAAATTCCGAAAAAATCCTGTACAATTACTCGAAATTCCAAAAAATTCTTCTGAAATTTTTTGGGTAGATAATTTTACTGAAAAAAAATTACTTGAATTTCTCCTGAAATTATTTGGAATTCTATCAAAATTTGAAGAAATTCCTGTAAAATAATTCAAAATTTTCGTGAAATTCCAAAAAAAAAATCGTGAAATTATTTTTTGAATTTCAACAAAATTCCAAGGAATTTTTATGAAATAACTCAGAATTTTAGTGGAATTCCAAAAAAAAATTACGTGAAATGATCTGAAATACTCATGAACTATCAAAAAATAATTTGTGAAATTGCATGGAATTCCAAAAAAATCCTGTAAAAATACAGATTTTTTTTTTTTTTAACTAATTGAATTTTTAGTGAAATTCCGAAGAATTTTTAGGGAATTCTGGTGTGCAATTTAAGAACATTCTATGAACATTCCTGGAACATTCAATAAAAAGAATTTCAGTGGAATTCTGAAAAATTCTTGTAAAATTACACGAAATTCTCATAAAATATCAGAAAATTCCTATGAACATTCCTGAAACATTTCACGCACATTCCCGGAACATTCTATAAACATTCCCCGAATATTCTTCAAACATTTTCCAAAAAAAAAAAACATGTTGAAACATTTCTGAAACATTCTATAAACATTCTTGGAACATTTTATAAACAATTCTAAAATATACATTCCAAATTTAAAAAAAAAAAAACATGTTGAAACATTTCTGGAACATTTTTGAAACATTTTATAAACATTCCAAAAATAGACAAATTATTTCAAAAATAAATTGAAATATTTTTGTCTTGATGGGACATTCTACGAATATTTCATAAACATTTCTGGAAGGGTACCCCCTTTGAATTCTAATTTCAAAATATTCTAATTTCAATTGCTCGGTAGGCGTTGAGCAAATTGCATATTGAAATTTTCAGCATGCTCTTATTAGGCTCTAAATGGCCTGTAATTTACAATATTTCCAGATTTATAGTTTCTGAGCAAATTCAGTTTGAAGTTTTTGACAAAATTTGGACTAAAAGTCAAATTTGAGGGTCAATTGCTCAAAAACTATTTAAGCTATTAAACTCAATTTTGCACAAGATTTTGAACATTTTCCAGAGCCAAAATAGTTATTTTCCTAACAACTGCGGAAAGTGATTGCCGTTGACGAACGACGCGAAGCGGAATTCGGGCAAGCAGTCGAGTGCGGAAAAGACACTTTCCGCATGAGTTAGGAACATTATTTTTTCTACGAGCGCGTTCAAATATAAAAATAAAAATTAAGTAAATTCAAAGCGATATATGATTAAAGAAATCGTTCAATTACAATAGTTATTTATGTATCAAGGGTACTAAGTAGATGATTATGCCCTGAGGGCGACAGTCTTACAAAGCCGAGTGCCTCTGGCCCGAGGGTATATACATCTATTAGTACCCGTGGTGCATACAAACTTTTATGTCATATCAGTTGGTTGTGAATAATAAATATATATAGGAAGCCTTCCAAAGAAAAATACATATATATATATATATATACGCGTAAAGCGTACGCTCTGCAGCCCGCGGTTTGAAGAGGTCGCTGTGAAACCCATCGTTTTCTAAGGCAGGGGGCAAAGGGGATAGCTGTATTATATATTATTTTATATCAACAGGACTTTGTACAACCCATTAAATTAATCGAGCGTAGTGTAGCCCGAGCACATGTAAAATATTTTAACGCCGCTTTGTTGAGCCACGCGGTGTTGCCACTGCAGGTAAAGCGAGTCTATTATTTGCTCTTTAACGCTTACAGATTTTTCATTTTCTCGAAGTATCCTCAGATGTTCGATAATGGTGGAGTGGAATCTTTCGATTATCCCATTGGATTGTGGGCTATCGTAATGTAATGGATGGCTATCTTGTGTGTATCTACAAATTCCTGTACCAGTCCATTCTTAAATTCTGTTCCACTATCGGTGACTATCATATGTGGCTGTGGCGGCTGGTGAGAGGAAAATTTGGCGGTGCACACACTCAGGGGGAAGCCCCAGACGCGCGCAATTTTTTTTGGACTGACCCAAACTAACCCAAATTTTGATCTAAAAGTTGTAAAAAAAACACGCCTCAGAAAGTTTTTTCACTTATTCTCAATTCAAACGTGGGCATTTACCATTTCTACAAAATAATAAATGAAGCACGGGCGGAGTACAGACTTGTTCAGACTGATCCGGATTCTGGAAAATGATCCCGAGGTCTTTTGGGACCTTTTTAAGAATTTTTCCAACCCCTTCCAAACATTTCCAAGTCTTTTCCAGACGTTTCAAGAGATTTCCAGACTTTTCCAGACAATATCCAGACTTATCCAGAGTTTTACAGACTTTATCCAGATTTATCCAGACCTTATCCAGACTTGTACAGACACTGATCCGGATTCTGGAAAATGATCCCCAGGTTTTTTGGGACCTTTTCAAGAATTTTTCCGACCCTCTCAAGAAATTTCCATGCCTTTTCCAGACGTTTCCATAGATTTCCAGACAATATCCAGACTTATCCAGAGCTTTCCAGAGTTTTCCAGACTTCATCCAGATTAATCCAGACTTTATCCAGACTTGTTCAGACTGATCCGGATTCTGGACAATGATTCCGAAGTCTTTTGGGACCTTTTTCAGAATTTTTCCAACCCTTTCCAGAAATTTCCAAGTCTTTTCCAGACGCTTCAAGAGATTTCCAAACTTTTCCAGACAATATCCAGAGTTTTACAGACTTTATCCAGATTTATCCAGACCTTATCCAGACTAGTACAGACTGATTTGGATTCTAGAAAATGATCCCCAGGTCTTTTGGGACCTTTTCCAGGATTTTGCCGACCCTTTCAAGAAATTTCCAGGCCTTCTCCAGACGTTTCCAGAGATTTCCAGACATTATTCAGACTTATCCAGAGCTTTCCAGAGTTTTTCAGACTTCATCCAGATTAATGCAGACTTTATCTAGACTTGTTCAGACTGATCCGGATTCTGGAAAATGATCCCTAGGTCTTATGGGACCTTTTTCAGAATTTTTCCAACCTTTTCCAGAAATTTCCAAGTCTTTTCCAGACGTTTCCAGAGATTTCCAGACTTTTCCAGACAATATCCAGACTTATCCAGAGTTTTACAGACTTTATCCAGACCGTATCCAGACTTGTCCATACTGATCCGGATTCTGGAAAATGATCCCCAGGTTTTTTGGGACCTTTGGCAGAATTTTTCCGACCATTTCCTTGACAACCGCGAGCCGCCACTGCTCCATGCCTCAAATAAGATGCCTCTTTTTTTGTTATGATGCGATCCATGGCCACATCGTGTGATATTCCACCTCAAATTTAAAACAGCAGTAGCTGGAGGCTGGAGGAGTATCATCTCTGCTGCCTCCCTTGGCATCTTCTATCTTTTTTCCACGAGGACGAATTGCTGGTAATAAGGTCTTGAATTATAACGTCATTTTCATTTGCTTCCAGTCCTGTATCAGCCCAACTGGAACACATTTTAGCACTGTTTATTACTTCTTCCATGTCGTGTTGTTCCTTTTTCAGTGCATCATAAGTTGAATTGACCATTCGTTGTGCTTTCGGTCTGTTCTCACAGAAATCACAAACTAGTCAGACTCAGAGCCAATTTCATTCGTTGAAAATAGTCAGAAAACTGTTTGTTGGCGCTTTGCACCACTCAAAAACGCTGTGACTGGTTTGTGACTTCTGTAAGAACAGACCTTATTGAAGCCGCTGTTTGAAGGTATCTTGTTGAAGGGGGTGTGACCCAAAAAAAAACGACTTAAGCTACTTAAATCAAGAAAAAAATTCTAAGATCTCTCGTGAAAACCGCAGTCCTATATTCAAAATAGTTTCCGAGAAAACGCCTTGTGAAGATAAATTACGCAGGAATTTGTGATGTCACAACCAGTGCCGGCCCGAGGTTACTTTTAGGATGGAGCGAGATCCTACTTTGGCGCCCCTATTTTAAATGTAAATCGTATAGGTACTCTATTCTATTCACCGATATAAGAAATGTCATGAAATTCAATAAATTATTTGCCTTACTTAGGTACTGGTGTTCGGCCACGTGCATATACCCCATATACTGAAGAAAACAAAGGAAATAGTTGCCTATGTCATTAGGTAAAAAAGTGGGTTACCAATTTTAAATAAAAAAGCAGAGCATTGGGCTAGTACAACTCACCCATATCTATATCTACCTCTAAGAGCTGCTTTTCAGTGCTTTAATTGTTAGAGTATCATGCTCCTGGAGTGTGACGCTCTTGAACTGTTCGACATAAGTAGCACTGGAACGCTCTCATCTTAAGCCCCACCATTTCGGACTTCAGCTAGGGGATTCCATTTGCTTCGAGATCACGAAATCGAATCGCTTTCGTACTCGATACCAAATACGATATCCAGCAATCCGGAGTTCCCATTCGAAATCGTATTCAGCAACGGATAGGTCGGTATCGAAATCCGTAGCAACCGTATATTTTTCTTCTCACTATTGTGAGGACCACTAATAAGGCTAGGTAATTAGAATTTTCAGTAGGTACCAATGAGTAGGTTAAGTAGGTACCACTTTATATGTTTACTTTCAACTTGTTTATTGAAATTTCTTTATGTAGGTAGCTACTAATAGATAGTGTCTTTAAAGGTTAAACTAGGGTGACCATACGTACAGCATTTCGCTGTAT